TAAAAACACGGGGTGCTGGGAATACTTAGTTTTCTCATTAAAATTGACATAATTGGGCTGGGGTGTGTCCTAGCAGTAGAGCGGGACAGTTCACCCTTTTAGAATGTGCAATGCAGGGATTTTCAGCATATTCATAGAGTTGCACAACCACCACCACCATCTCATCCAGGCGGCTTCCCCATCCACAGAAGAGGCCCTGTCCTCATTAGCGACGGCTCCCTGGGATTCTCTTCCTCTCTCTCTCTCTCCTCATTTATTTGTTTTTTTAGTACTGGGGATTGAAACCACGGGCATTAACCACTGAGCCACATCCCCAGCTCTTTTTTTTTTTTTTTTTTTTTTGTATTTTATTTAAAGGCAGGATCTCTGCTAAGTTGCCGAGGCTGGCTTTGAACTCGAGAGCCTCCTGCCTCAGCCTCCCGAGCTGCTGGGACACCAGTCAGCTTTCTGTTCTGTAGACTGGGGGTTTCTGGACACCTCGTATGAATGCGGTCCGAGACCCTGTGGTCCTCTTGATATCATGGTCTCATGTTTTCAAAGTTCATCCACATTGTGGTGAATCAGTACTTCATTCCTTTTTATGCTCAAATACCATTTTGTGGTGTGGCCGGGGCACATTTTGTTCATCTGCTCATCCCTTGACAGTCATCAGGGTTTTATAAATTTTGGAATAGAGCCGCTGTCTGTGTTCGCCTGGAAGGTTTCGTAAGGATGTATGTTTCCATCCTCTTGGGCGCGTACCTCGCGGTGGACTTTCTGGGCCATATGTTGATTCTATGTTTTAAATTTGTGACAAACCGCCAGACTGTTTTCCAAAGCGGCCACCCAGTGAAACTCGAATTTCAACAAACAGTGTATAATTTTTCGGTATAAATATGTCCCCTGTAATAGCTGGGACATAGTTATGCTAAAGCATTGCGTGTTGAAATTCTAGCTCAACTGGCTGTCCTGTGTCTCACTGAGCAGCCGGGGACAGGTGAAGTGCAGGTTGCAGCCTGCTTACCCCAAGGGACTGGAAGTTCTCTTCCTGTAAGGGACAACTGCTCTGATCTGGCTGGTTCTGTCTCCCAGTTCACTTTGAGTTCAAGCAGGACCCCCACCTGATCCCCCGCCTTTTACCCTTTATCAGTCACTGTGATTGGTTCAAGGTGGGCTTGTGACCCACAGGCTCAGCCAATCACAGCCTTTCTTGAGACTTTGGTTGGAATCCTGGGAAAAGAGAGGTTCCCTGGGGCTGGGCCTGGGGCTCAGGGGTAGAGCTCACCTGGCGTGTGGGAGGCCCTGGGTTGGATTCTCAGCACCGCATATAGATAAGTGAATAAAATAAAGATTCACCAACATCCAAAAATATATTATTTTTAAAAAGCACACTGGTAAAAGGAGAGAGAGAGAGAGAGAGAGAGAGAGAGAGAGAGAGAGAGAGAGAGAAAGAGAGAGAGAGCGCGTGTGTCCATGAACCAGAGGTTGTTGGGGTGGGCAGTAAATGGGGACCTGCCCAGGGAGTCACCAGAGAGGTCCTAGGTGCCCCTGCTTTATCTGGGGAACTCCTACCCAGTGCTCTCTTCCAAATGACGTCCCAGGAGGTAATAGGGAGCGTTCATTGATTGACTGATTGATTGAAGGTGATTTTTTCCATTTTTTTCATATTTATTTTTTAGTTTGGGTGGACACAGTATCTTTATTTTATATTTTTGTGGTGCTGAGGATCGAACCCAGTGCCTCCCGAGTGCTAGGCAAGTGCTCTGCCTCTGAGCCACCAACCACCCCAGCCCCAATTTTTCCATTTTGAAGAAATCCTCCGAGTTCTTAAAATCCACTCAAATTCTCTAGGCCCTTCAGAGGACATTTCTTGGGTGAAAACTACATTTTCCTTGTGGCCTTTCACACATCCATCTCTGGCCTCCCCTTCTGTGGCAGAATGCCCGAGACGATCCACCTAAAGAGGAGAGGTCTCCTTTGGCTCCTGGATTTAGAGATTTCGGTCCTTGGTTGCTGGGCCCCGTGGCTCTGGGCCTTGTCAGCAATTTCCATGATGGTGGGAGCCCATGGCAGGGCCCCTTCTCCTCCTGGTGGCCAGGAAGCAAAGAAGAGTGTCAAGATCTGGGGTCCCCTGATCCCTTTCGAGAGTGTGCACCCAAACACCTTTCTTCCCGAGGTCCTGGTTCCTAAAGGTCCCAACTGTGCTGTCGGTGGAGAATCAAGCCTTGAACACGTGGGCCCTGGGGACACTCGGGAGCCAAAGCAGAGCGTCCTCAGGACTCTCCTCAAAGCTGATCGCGGTGGCCACGCCTGGCGTCCCCGCAGCTCCGGAGGCTGAGGCAGGAGGATGGCGAGTTCAAAGCCAGCCTCAGCCACAGCGAGGCCCTCAGCAAGACCTCCCCCACCATGCTCGATGCTCTGGAGGCTGACAAGTCCCCGTTGGTGGCAGGGGCTGTTCCTATGGACGGGCACCTGTAAATGTGGAGGCTGGTGAGGGAGTAGGTTCTCTCCTGGGAGACTCCTGCTCACCCCTCAACACCCTCTTTAATGCCCCCTAGGGACCTTGGTCTCTTGGTCTCTTGGGCTGAAGGTCACTCTCCCCAGGAAGACGGGTGGGGGGTGGGGAGGCTCTGCGGTTGCCCTTGTCACGATTTCCGGCTCCTGTGACCTACACTTTCCTGCTTCCCCTCCCCCACTCTGTGGGGCGCCGAAAGTGGGGCGCCCCGGGAGCTTCTGTGGCAGCTGACAAGGGCCCCTGGGGGGGGGAGGGGGAGAGGGAGGGGTGGTGCCCAGAGGTGGCACCGGGAAGGTGAGACCCGTGAGCTCAGTGTGACCCCGACGAGGGTAGAAAGGCCACCTCACATGCAGCTGGGGTCCCCCTTGCTCACGGCCCCCCACGGCTCCCCAGGGCCCTTGGGCAAGGCAGGCCCCCTCCCCTGGCTCTCCAGGCCCCTGCGCCTCCAGTGTCACCTCCCCACACAGAGCCCCAGGCCCTCTGTGACGGGCTACTGTTCCTCCAAGCGTCTCCTCCAGAGGAGGCCGAGGCCCGAGTGCCATCTACCCCTGGACACCCAGCTCCAAGCCCCAGGCACGGTGGCCCACGCCTGTCACCCCAGCACGCGGGAGGCTGAGGCAGGAGGATCGCGAGTTCAAAGCCAGCCTCAGCAAGAGCGAGGCCCTGAGCAGCTCAGGGAGGCCCTGTCTCTCACTAAAACACAGAATAGGGCTGGGGACCGGCTTGGTGGCCGGGGCCCCTGAGCTCAGTCCTCCTCCTCCAGGAAGCCCTCCCTCCCAGCTCACAGCTGTCCCTGCCCCAGGGGCTGGGGAACCTGGTCCAGTCCTCCCCTCCCTCCCTCCCTGTCTACCCAGGGGCCGCTCTGGCTTTGGGATGAGGAAGACACGTTAGCAGGACAGAGGCCACTGGGGGGCACCCGTGACAAGGGCCAGTGTCCCTGGCTGGCGGTGGGCGCCGTCCCCTCTCCTCCCTCAGGCCTGGCTCTGCAGGGTGGGGGCCAGGCCTGGGAGGCCGCTGCTGGAACCTTCTGTCCTTCAGCCGGAGCCTGGGGTGGCCCCCCTGTGCCTCAGGTCCCCCCCTGTGACCCGGACAGGGGGCTCCCGGGGCCAGAAGGGCTGCGAGGCCCAGGTTGGGGCCGCCCCCTCCGTCTGTGTCTCTCGGTCTTATCTCTCCGTGTCTCTGGGTCTCTGTCTCTGCCCCTCCCCCGCCCTGGCCGGGTCCCGTGGCCAGTGAAGGCTGCTGTGTGCGGGGTCACGGGCTCTCCGTCCCCGTGGTGCCAGGACCAGGACACTGCTTCTTTGTCCCCAGGCACTGACCTCACCGTCCCTGGGCCGCCTGACCCCGGCCGCCCCGCTGTCCCCGGCTCCTCCTCCGGGGGGCGACCTTGCCAAGGCTGAGCCTCGCCCTGTCGCCGGCCTCGGTCTCCCCAGGTGCCCCATCCCAGGAAGGGCCCTCCCCACCTCGGAGCCCTGGGACCCCGGGAACGTGTCCCTTCAGGGGAGGTCACACGACCCAAATCCACCCTTTCAGAAAGGACGATGCGGTTGACATGGAGCTCGCTCTCAGGGGGCGCAACAGCAGCTCCACCTGGTTCTAGAACATTCCCGTCCCCCAAAGGAGACTGCACACAGGAGCCCCACTCCCTGCCCTCAGCCCCCAGCAACGCACCTGCTCCGTGGCTCTGGGGACCGCCCGCTCTGGGCACTTCCCAGCAGCAGAGCCACCTCCCCAGGATTTATTATTTTTTATTTTTGTTGTTGTAAATCAGGGTCTCAGTGAGTTGCTGAGGCTGGCCTCCCGCTTGCCATCCTCCTGCCTCAGCCTCCCGAGCTGTTGGGATGACAGGGGTGCACCATCATGCCGAGCCAAAGATTAAGGATGTAAAGTGACCCAGGGCACCCGAGGCAGGACTCTGGACGTGGGGAGCGGGTGCTCTGGCGGACGTGGCGCACCGCGAGTGCCTCACAACAATTTGTTGGATGAAAGAATTCAAGATGTTCGAGGACTCGGGAGGCTGAGGCAGGAGGATGGCAAGTGGAGGCCAGCCTGGGCAACTTAGAGACCGTGTCTCAAAATACAAAATAAAAGGACCGAGAAGGCTGCTCACTGGTGGAGGCTCCTGGGTTTGAACCCAATATTAAAAAGACAAAAATCCTGCCCAAGGACCCTGTGGCCCGGCCAGCCCTGGGGTCTGAGGCGGGGTTAGAGAGGACTCGGGGACGGGGCCGAGAGCTGCAGGTGACTCTCAGGGCCATCCCCGGGGTGTCCAGCTGGGCCCAGGGCTAGCAGGGCAGGGCGCCGAGCCTCAGGGCCCGACGTGCCCCAAGGTGGGTTCCTGCGGGGTGAGGTCACCGCTGTGGCTTCCTGGGTTTCTCTTTCAGTGTGACTGCGCCTGTGACACTTTTTTTCCTTTCCTTTTCACGGTTCTGCTTCAGTGAGTTCCGGGAGGGGACAGTGTGGTGGCCGTCCTGGGTGCTGAGAAGCTGCTTGGAACCCGAGGCTCCTCGTGGACCCGATGGGGCGGCTGGTGGCTGTGCTGCGTGTCCTCCTCCTCCTGTGGTCCAGCCGGGGTGAGGCACGGTCCCCAGCCGCCACCCGCTGCTCCTGGTCGGGACTGATGGGTGGAGGCCCCGGGTTCGAGGGTCCTGCCCTGAGTGGGAGGGACCTGGCGATCCTGGCTCTGGGCTCGGACCCCTCCCGGGCCTTGCTTTTCTCTTTTGTGGACTGGACCCTCCCCACCTCCCAGAGTTCACTGAGGGGACACCCAGGGCAGCGGTGGAGAGCGAGCCGGCGCGTGGCAGGCGCGTGGCAGGGTGCACACAGTCATGTACGTATCAGGTGAGGACGGGTCACTGGGGTGGCTGGGTTCAGACTCTGAACCCCTCTCTGCTCCTGCTGCTGTGTGACTCTGGGCAGATTCTGTGCCTCTCTGTGCTTTCGTTTCCTCCTCTGTAAACTGGGGATCCGCAGGGTGCAGACTCAGCCCTCGAGTCTGAGGTGCTGAAGGTACCCCGCGGGGACTTCAGGAGCCAGACGGGGTAGAGAGCAGGGCAGGGGAGGCCCTGGGGCCGGGATCCCTTGGGAGTCGCTCACTGGTGGTGGCCCTGGATGGTCAGCCCTGGGGAGGGCGGGGGTGGGGGGGTGGAGGGTCTGTGGGGGGGTGTGGGCGCCAGGCTCCCCTGACTCCGCCCACGGCAGCCCCTGCCCAGACGTGTCGGGTTCTGCCTCTGGTGGACAGTGGTGCTGCCACCAGCTTTTCCCCAGGCGCCCCCCACACGTCCCGCCTGCCAGGTTCTGGGTCTCACTGCTCTTTCCTGCTGGGGGGACCCCCTGGAGAGACCCCAACTGCATATCTTAGTGTCCACTGTGAAATTTCCACCCAGCCACCAAGGGCTAAGGGGTGGTGGATGAGGGAGGAGTGGGCTGAGGGACGAGTGGATGGAGGGGGTGGTGGACAGAATGGCCGGTGCTTGACAGATGAAGGGGGTCCACTAGGACCCCAGACTCAGCATCAACAGACGGTGGTAGATGGAAGGGTGGGTTGGCGGGCGGCTAGACAGATCCAGGTGGGTGGATGAGGGGTGGATGGACAGGTGATGATCACTTGGATGTAGACCCCAAGCTGAGCCCCTGTCCCCAAACAGTGCAAGGCCAGAAGTGTCATCCTCTCTCGTTCCCCCAGCTGCCTGCAGAGCCATCGAGTGCTCGGTTCGGGACCTGCCGGATCCGGACACCGACTCAGGTTCGAGGCGTGAGGACTGCGTGGCGCTGGGCTCCGCCTCTCCCAGCCACGGCAGCCCCACCTGCGGTCTCGGGGACCCTGAGCACCCCCCGCCGGCCCATCCTCACCCTCTCAGCCTGGTGTGTGTGTCACCAGCTGGTCACCGGGTGTCGGGGGTGGTGGTGGTTAGGCGTGCCCGGGTGAAGCTGCGGTGTCCCCAGAGTAGGTGTCGCTGTCCCAGGCTCACTAAGTACCCACAAAGGCTCCGGTGCCCTGTGGGCACGCCATCATTTCCACTGTCGAAGGTGATCTGCTCGTCCGGCAGTGGTGGCACACTGTGGAGTGCCAGTTCTTCAGGAGGCTGAGGCAGGAGGATCATTGGAGCCCAGGAGTTTGAGGCCAGTCTGGGCAGCAGAGCAAGACTCCATCTCAATTTTTTTTTTTTTACTGAGCATCTACTATGTGCAGACCCAATTCCAGATGTAGGGAATAAGTTGTGAGCCCCACAGTCCTCCCAGGACAGCCTCGTGGAGGCCAGAGCACAGGTGAACTGGTGCACGTGCTGCACAGGATGGCACACACTGGAAAAGCAGGCGGCTGAGGGAGGAGGAGGCTGCTGTGGGCCAGCTGGTGGGCCAGGAGGTGACATAAATGAGCAATGGGGCTGCTGAGATCTGGGGAAGGAGCAGGAAGGAGCAGTGTGGCTCCGTGGTAGAGCATCTGCTTGGTATGTGCCAGCGGCTGAGTCTCATCCATCTCCGCTAATGAAAAAAAGATCTGGGGGAAAGGCTTTCCAGGTAGAGGGCACAGCATGTGCAAAGGCCCTGAGGTGGGAGCAAACCTGGCATGTTGGAGGCCGAGAAAGGAGGCTGGTGGGGTTGAGGTGGGGACATGGGAAGGACTCAGGGAGAGTGTCGGGAGCCACAGAAGGTTTAGGCAGAAGTGTCTGCTCCATGACACTGTGACGGAGTTTCATTGCCTGGGAGCGGGTCCCTGTGGGGAAGCTGCGCCCCCTGTGGTTCTCCCCAGACCCCGGGGTCTCTTGCAGGCTCTGCCTCGGGGCCCACCGACCTGAGCTGCTATCGGGTGGACAGCGAAAGTGTCTATGAGTGCTCCTGGCGGTACGAGGGTCCCACAGACGGCGTCAGCCACTTCCTGTGGTGCCGGTGAGGACTCCACCGAGGTCCCCAAACCCTGACCCCTGTTCAGCCCTTGCTCCCGTCATCGACACTGCCCCGCCCCCAGTCCGGCTCTCAGAAGGGAGATGCTGGGAGAATTTGGGGTCCCCCTAAGCCCCCAGTCCTAAGTCGATCCCTACATAACCCCCGAGGTCCACTAGGACCCCAGACTCGGCTCCGACACGCTCCTCCCTGCAGCCGGCAGGAGGGGTGCTGCTGCTACTTCCCCGCGGGCGGGGACACCAGGCTGCAGTTCTCGGACCAGGACGGGGTGCCCGTGCTGCGCAACGTCACGCTCTGGGTGGAGTCTCGGGCGGGGAACCGGTCGGAGAAGTCGCCCAGCGTTTCCCTGAGGCTCTCCACGTGGGGTCAGCATCTGCTCGATTCCTGGACCCTCTCCAGCCTCACAAGCCCCCGGCCTCCAAGCCTAGACCTGGAGGGGGATCCCAGGGTCACATCCAACTCTGGAGTGTGGTGACAGGGCCGTCTTCATGGTGCCCTGGCCAAAATCCCCTCTTGCTGGGCACTTAGGTTGCTTCTCGCTGGCCCTGTCTCCAAAGCGCACCTGAGGTCGGGTGCCCAGGGGACGCGGCCTGTGGGCCCCACGGAGGAGGGGGCGTGGGCCACCCTGGTTCTCGCGGGGGACCCAGTTGATGACCCGGGTCGGGCCAGCCACGGGCAGAGGCGGGACCATCGAGTCACACACGTGGGGCCATCTCCTCCAACCGCCACCTCTGCTTCCAGTCCGATACCACCCTCCCCCGGGCGACATCAGGGTGTCCAGTGCGTCCGGGCAGCCGCGGTGGGAGTGGGCGACCCGGCAGGAGAAGGCCGAGGCCCAGCAGGACAGGGCGGAGGTGCAGCTCCGGCACCGGACACCCAGCAGCTCGTGGAAATGGGTGAGTTTCCTCCACGGGTCAAGAGTGGACCCGGCCTCTCTCAGGGACCCTCAAGTTCCCATGGGTCTCACCATCTCCACAGCCGCGCCCCTCCCTGGCCTCCACCCTGCCCAGGTCAGCCTCCAAGGTCTTTCCGACACTCCCCCTGCGGGCTGCCACCTCCCCGGCTCACACGCCCGCCATGGCTCCCTATTACCTATTGCCGCCCGCTCCCCACGCCCCCCTCTGGCCAGGCTCAGGGTTCCTCAGGCCCAGGATCCGCGCTCCCCACTGCCCTTCCTGGGCCTTCTCCTTGTCACCTGAGCCCAGGCACAGCCAACCGCTTTCTGCTGAAGGCCCCTGAGCATCCAGCCAGGCAGGGCTTCACCCCCGGCCGCTGTCACCCAGGCAGGGCCAAGCTGAGCTTGCGGGAGCCCCAGCCCCAGCCGGGCGCAGTGGCCCACGCCTGCCATCCCAGCAGCTGGGGAGGCTGAGGCAGGAGGATCACGAGTTCAAAGCCAGCCTCAGCCACTCAGGGAGACCCTGTCTCTAGATGAAAGACAAAACAGGGCTGCGATGTGGCTCCTTGGTCGAGGGCCCCCGGGTTCAATCCCTGGGACCCCCCTCAATTTCTTTTTAAATAGCTGAAGTTGTCAGCACCGAAGTGTAAACAGACGGTGTCACATGGCCTCTCTCTAGGGCGACTGTGGACCTCAGGATGCTTCGGGCCTCGGTGAGAATGAGTCACAACAGCAGCAGCAAAGGCAGCCGCTGCCAGGAGACGTTAACTGAGCACCTACTGTCGGCCTCGCCCTCTGCAAAGGCCTCGGTTGGGTTATTTCCATTTTGCAAGTGAAAAAACAAAGCAAGGATTGGGATGGGGGGGGCGCTGAGGAGCCCTTGGCCAAGGTCCCATCCTGGGGGGGGCCAGCTCCCACCTGGGGCAGGGGCTAGTGGACACACCCAGGAACCCAAGGGGACAGGGCCTGGCTCCCTCCTGCCTGGCTGTGTACACAGCTGGAGCTCCTAAGTGCGTGAGAGCTGAGCGACTAGTGCCAAGCCCTGGGCGACCCCGTGGGACTGACGTCCGGCCTGTGTGGCGCCCCTCCCCCAGAGTCCTGCCTGTGTCCCCTGGGGACGGACGGAGCCCGGGAATGCCAGTTTCGGCGGCGGCGGCGGTTGGCATCGGGTGCCGCGGGAGGTCCCTGGAGTAGCTGGGGCAGCTCTGTGTGTGTCCCCCCAGGTGAGAACGCCCCGGGCCACGGTGTCGGGGCCTTAGAAATGAGGCAGCAGGGCCAGGGCGGTCGCACGCCTGTCGTCCCATAATCCCAGAGGCTTGGGAGGCTGAGGCAGGAGGATTGTGAGTTTGAGGCCAGCCTCAGCCGCTTGATGAGATCCTGCGTGAAATACAATACAGAGGGGGGCGGCTGGGGGACAGAGCCCTTGCTCAGCACTACACGGCCCCAGGTCCATCTCTACACTAAAAGACAAGAGAAGAAGAAACGGGGCGGCGGGCATTAGACAGGAGGCAGTGGGAGTTAGACATAAGGCAATGTGTATTAGAAATCAGGCAGCGAGGGCGTAGGCTCAGCATGGGCTCCCCCCTCCGCAGCCACCCTCCCGCGCCCTGAGCTGAGGCTCTCCGTGGGACCCCTGGGCCCCGACGGGAGGAGGCTGCTCACGGTGCACGGGCAGGTAATGGGGCCTCCAGGGGCTGCGGGTGGCCCGGGCAGGGGCGGGGACAGGAGGCTGGAGGGGGTGGGCGGGGAGCCTGGGGTTCCCGTGGGAGCCACTGCGGGCCGGGAGGGCGGTGGGCCCGGATCTCCGCGCAGAGCAGACAGAAACCAGGAGGCGGGAGGAGGGGGCAGACTCCAGCAGGTCTCTCTTGGGCTCAGTTTCTTCCAATTCAAATGCCTTTTCCTAGGAGCAATCTGGGCCTGAGCTAATGACTCCAAAGATTTGACTCTTTTTTTCTGAAATCGCAGTGGGTTTTGCCAGTCTGCCCCCCTCCCCAGACCAGCGTGCCCCGGCTCTGACTGCCCGTTTCCCAACAGCTCTGCCAGCATTGTGTTGGACTATTTTTTTATTTTTTTAAGAAATTTCGGTGCATGTGATTGGCTGCGGTCCTGTCCCCCTGGGCTGTGGTGCTGTCTGCCCAGAGGACAGTGTTCAGGTGCCCACAGGCCATCTCTCGTCCCCATGACAGCTACCCCAGGTCAAGCTTCCGGAAGGCTGCCTCGAAGCCCCCACGGCCAGGGTGAACCTGTCTGTCCAGCTGCACATGCTGTCCTGCTCCTGCAAGGCCAAGGCCCAGAGGACCCGGCCCCTGCGGAGAAAGCTCCGCCTCTCGGGGGCTGCCTACGATGTGGCTGTCTTCTCCCAGAGCCACTTTGGCCGGAGCTCCAACAGGACCTGGCGCATTCCCGCCAACACCAGCACAGGTGCCTCTCGGTGGGGCGGCCGCCAGAGGGACCTGGAGCTGCGCAGCTCTTCTGAGCCTCACTCCACCAGCGAGAGGCCAGGGAGGCCAGGGAGGCCAGGGAGCGTAAGGGGCGCCCAAACCCATGATCCAGCTGGGCCTGGCTGTGCCGCCTGTCATCCCAGGGTCTCGGGAGGCCGAGGCAGGAGGATCACAAGTTCGAGGCCAGCCTCATCAACTTAGTGAGACCCTGTTTCAAAACACAAAAGGCCCATAGGTCAGTGGTGGGGTGCTCGCCCAGTGCATGCGAGGCCCTGGGTTTGATCCCCAGCCCTGAAAAATAAAACATGTCACCCCAACACCCTTAACCCGGGTGACTCCTTAAATTCCGTGCCCGAGCGCCACGCCACCCTGGGAAGGTGCAGGTGAGGCCCTGAGGCTCATTTTACAGATGCGACAACCACCCGAGGCTCAGAGATGTCCTGTCACTCCCGAGGGCGGCACAGCAGCGTGTGGTCAGCTCTGACCCGATTTGGGTGGCCGCCCTGCTGGGTGGACTCGGGCAGACCGCCCACCGCGTCCGGGCCTCAGTGTTGGCATCCGTCAAATGGGGCCATCACCGTCCCATCTCCCGGGGATCCGGCGCACGCAGCTGGTGTTCAATAGACGCTGCTTGTCTTCAGCCAAATGAGAAGCAGGGGCCCTGGTTTTGGGAAGTGGGGGGGATGGAGCCGGGGGTCGGGGTGCGTCCTGCTGCCTCTGAACTTGGCCTCTGTCCCCAGGGTCCAGCCTGGCTGGGCGTCTGTAGGGGAGGGAGACAGGGCGGCAGAGGTGGCCCCGTCCGGGCGAGGGAAGCCCTTCAGATGCTCCCCGCCGCCCGCGTCCAGCCCCCAGCTGCCCCCTGAGGGGACAGAGCTGGGCACAGACGTCCCTGGGCAGGAAGGTGGCCCGGGGACTGCACAGGCCGGGCAAAGGCGGCTGCCCTGGGTGACCCGCCATCCCCTTCCAGACCCAGGGCTCCTGAACATCAGTGTCGACGCCAAGGGGACCACCCTGAGCTGGCCCGCGGGGGACCCGGGCACCACCTACTGCATCGAGTGGCGGCAGCTGGACGGAGGGGGCGGCCCTGCCCTCTGCAGCCTGCTCACCCCCCGGGGCGCGGCCCCCGATGGACGAGGTACGTGAGTGGCCGCGTCCCCGCCAGGCCTCTGGGACGCCTCCTGAGACTGGACACAGGGGCGTCCAGGGCCCAGAGAGGCTCCGCTGTGGACTCAGGTCACACAGCTTGGGTGGGAACGGGGCCTCGGCCCTCCTCCTCTGCTGGCCCCGGCGCCTGGGCAGGCTGCACCCGGCAGGGAGCCTCTCTCACGTCCCAGGTGCCTGTTCAATATTTGCCGTCACCAGGGAAGGTGGCATTTAGCAGGTGCTGGTGACAGACTAATGAGGCCTCAGGAGGGGAGGGCGCTCTGTGGCCCGGGCGCCTCTGGCTCCCCCGCTTCCTGCCTGGGTCTCGCTGGAGCCCTAGGAAGCCACAGCCTCCACCTGGCCTTCTTTTTGAGATCCTGGGGAGGAACCCAGGGTCTTGAGTCCGCCAGGCACTCGCCCAACCATGACCCACACCCCTGGCTCCCCCTTTATTGGTGCCAGGGATTGACCCCTGGGGCGCTTAACCCCTGCGCCCCAGCCCCAGCCCTTTCTAGTTTTAATCTTGAGCAGCGTCTCACTGAGTTGCTTAGAGCCTCGCTAAGTTGCTGAGGCTGGCCTCCAACGTGTGATCCTCCTGCCTCAGCCTCCCAGTAGCTGGGATGCCAGGCGTGCAGCCGCCTGGTTGTGGAGGTGTCCCCGGCCTGACAGTGGGACAAAAGCACCCCACAGTGCGGGAGGGGCCAGGTGGGAGTGGACGGGGCAAGTTGGGGAAGGGATCTGGGAGGAGGGGACGTTGGCGCAGGGGGCTCTGAAGCACGAGTGGGCAGAGGTGGTGACATGGTGGCCCCGGGGCCGCTCCCTCCTTCCAGTGGCTCACAGCTGGGGCCGAGGATCCGGGGCGCTGCTGTCGGAGGGCTGCTACCACCTGGCCATCTTCGCCTCTGCGCACCCGAGGAACCCCACGTCCTGGTCCACGGTCCTGTCCACCCACTACTTCGGGGGCAGCGGTGAGTGACCTAATGCAGGCTCACCTCCCGGGGCCTCTGCAGCGGCTTCGGGCCTCAGGGGCCAGTGAACATGTCCCACCGCACGTCGGGTGCCAGCCGCCCACAGGTGACCAAGGCCAAGCACAGTGAGGGCCGAGGTGCGGGAGCCTCAGCGGCCAGTGTCCCCCATGTGCCAGGCTGGGCTTCGGGTGCTCGGCCCCGGCACTGACGGTGACGCTGCTGCTGGTTGCAGCCTCGGTGGCCGGGATCCCGCAGCGCGTGTCGGTGAGGAACCGCAGCAGGGACTCCGTGTCCGTAGACTGGTGGCCCTCGCTGCTGAGCACCTGCCGCGGCGTCCTGGAGGGGTACGTCGTGCGCTGCCAAGAGGAGGGCAGCCAGGGCTCAGGTACGCGGGCCCACAACTCTGGCTCGAGCTCCTTCTTGCTGTGTGACCCTGGGAACAATGCTGCCCCTCTCTGGGTCTTGATTTTCAACGAGAGAATTGAGCCGGATGCGGTGGTGCAGGCCTCTAATCCCTGGGGCTCAGGAGGCTGAGGCAGGAGGATCTGGAGTTCAAAGTCAGCCTCAGCAAAAAGCAAGGCCCTAAGCAACTCAGTGAGGCCCTGTCCCTAAATAGGATACAAAATAGGGCTGGGGGTGTGGCTCAATGGTCAAGCACTCCTGCGTTCAATCCCTGGCAGAGAGAGAGAGAGAGAGAGACAGAGAGAGAGAGAGACAGAGAGAGAGAGAATGAATTGTAATCTATGGATTTGTTTAGTTTGCTTGGTTTTGTTTTTTTGCTCTCCTGGGGATTAGCTGGGGGTGCTCTACCACTGAGCTATGCCCCCAGCCTTTTTATTTTATTTATGAGACAGAGTTCCTAAATTACTGAGGCTGGCCTCAAACTTGCCATCCTCCTGTCTCAGCCTCCTGCGTCGTTAGGATGACAGGTGTGCGCCACCGCTCCTGACTTTGGTTTCCTTCTTAGTGACATCCAGGGACTATATTCTCATTTAAAATTTTATTCAGTGTTTTATTTGATTCATTCAATTCCACAAACATTTATTTATTGTGCTGGAGATGCTGGGGAGGCTGGGGGGCGGGCAAAGCAGACAGAGCTAACCCTCACCCTCACCCTAAAGACAGGAAGGAGGTGGGGAGGAGCCCTGTGGGTATCTGGGGAACAGGGTCAGTCAGACCACATGGGAACAAGCAGTGCAAAGGCCCTGAGGTCGAGGAGCCTGGCCTCTTGGGGAGCAGAGTGGAGGCCAAAATGGCCGGAGCAGAGAGACCAAGGGGAGGGGCAGGAGAGAAGGTGGGAATTGGACGGGAAGCACGTGGCTTGCTATGCGTTTTGATGGGACATGTTCCTGCAAGTGAGATGCACAGGGGCTGAGTGAGGGGCTCCAACTTAGCACATGGCCGGCAGCCCCTTCCTCAAAAGCCCGACCAGGGCTCAGTCCCCATCCAGGTGTCCTGGCAGCCTGAACCTGGCCTCCGGGGAGCAGGGGGTTCCGGGACCCACGGCTGCCTCCCCCACCCCCTGCAGAGAGGCTGGTGAAGACCACGCAGACCCAGGTCACCCTCGGGGGCCTCCGCGCGGGCAGGGCCTACACGGTGCAGGTGCGGGCGGACACGGTGTGGCTGCGGGGCGCCTGGAGCCAGCCGCAGAGCTTCCGCCTCGGTGAGCAGCCGCCTGCCCAGAGCGAGCCAGGCCCACGGCCTCCCCAGCGCGGCCCACCGCGGGCACCTGCGCCACCGAACTCCTACTCACCCCTCAGAGCCCGGCCCCAAACCTCCCTGCTCCAGGAAGCCTTCCCGCACTGGCCAGCCTCCCTCTGTCCTGGGCTGGCACCTTGGTTTGGGATTTCAGTGCTGTGCACTTATTTTGTGCCGGGTGTTTATTCCTACTTCTGGGCAGGTGGGGTACGGGTCCCTTGTGTCACCTTAGGGAAACTGTAACCTGTACGGGGCTGGCGGCCGGGGAGGGGGCGGCAGGTGGATGGAGGGTCTCGCCCTCCCTCATCCCTCCCCAACCCGAGCTCTCCCACCCCCAGAAGCCCAGGTTTCCAACCTGCCCATCCCCTTCCTGTCTCTGGGGAGCTTCGTGAGCGTCCTCCTCCTGGGTGTCCTTGGGTACCTCGGCCTCAACAGGTAACTTGTGTCTTCTCCCCGGGGTCGACCTGTAAGAGTCACAGCAATAACTATAGCCTCCCAACTCGAGGAGCGGGAGGCACGGTACCCACTTTACAGATGAGGAAACCGAGGTCCAGAGAGCCAGGGGTTGTTGGCCCAGCAGGGGGCAGAGGTGGGATTGAACCTGAATCTATAGGACCCCCCCATCCCACCCTCACACCTTTAATAACCTCATGTTGGTGAAAAAAATGAGCCAAATATGACCGAATTTGACTTAAGGGCCGCCCGGTACCTGTGTCCACCCCTGCCCACACCCTGCGTCAGCACCGCTGTGGAGTTCCCCAGCAGCCAAGGGAAGCAGGTAAATGTTCAATGTTTCAAATTCCAGCTCGTGGCCGTGGTCACATACTCTGCGCAAAACTCTGCTGAGCAATGGCCCCCATGTATTGGCTCATTTGATTCTTCCCCAGCCTGTTGAGATGGATCTCCAAAACCCCTGCCCCAAACCCTCTCCATCTACATGTGGGCGAGTAACGATCCAGAGAGATCATTTCCTAGCAGAGAAACAGAACTGATGGCGGGGGCATGCCAAGATGGTGGGCTTCAGACACAGCTGGATCCAGGGCTCTGGGGTCTCTCTCTCTCTCTCTCTATGTGGCCATGGTCCCTGTGGGCTCCTCTCCTAGGCAGCCTCAGTCTTCCCCAGGGGAGAAGAAGCCCTGTTGGGCCCTTTAACTGCAGCCAAAGTCTCAGGGTCATCACCGATTGGTCCAGCTTAGGTCACGTGCTTACCGCTCGGCCTATGGCTGGAACCAGGAGCTTAGGATGCTATGATTGGCTGAGCCAGGGTCACGTGCTCCTTACTAGACCAGGGCGGGGCCACCTGCAGAGAGGAGGAGGGAGGCTTTTCCCAGAAAGACGTGGGGGTGCGGGGGCGGGGCCAGCAGGGCGCACCCTTAAATGGGTCTCAGGGTTTTAAAGAATCTGCCCCCAGGGCTGGGCCCCGCCCATGGGGGGTGGGGATGGCCCCGCCCAGCGCCTTGGCCCCGCCCTCCTTTCTAGCCGTGGCAATGGCCCATCCCGGGGGACTTCCCTGAAGAGGTGTCCCCTCAAGAGACCCTGGTGGTGGAGTTGTCCTGGAACAAAGGCGAGGGGACTGAGCCTCTGGAGGCGAAGACGGAGCTGCTGAGGGGTGTCCCAGAGCCAGGCCTGGACACAGAGCTGTCCCCGGAGGACAAGGGACAGGTGCAAGGACACCACCCGGAAGCCAAGGTCCTAGGGCCCGGCAAGCGGGACTGTCCAGATGGCAGCCCTGCCCAGGCGTCTAGACTCCCCTTGCTCCTGGAGGACCTGAGGCCGGGCCCCCCCAAGTTTGACGACCCTTGGTGGACGTGGAAACGCCAGGAAGAAATGGGAACACGCACCTCGTCTTCCAGAGAGGGAGACTGACCTGGCCGTCACCAAGGCTGGCATCCAGGGCTTACTGCACAACCAGCCTGTCCCCTCCAGACGCCAGGAAGAGCCCTTGAATTCCCACAGCTGGCCCTCGAGATGCCATGCCCATGTCAGGGGTGTGACCACTGAGGCCCAGAGTGGGTGAGTGCCTTGCCTGAGGCCACACAGCATGGGCCAGGACTCAAACTCAGGCCTCTGTGACGGGAAACTGCTCCCCATCGCCCCGCCTCCGGCGCCCTGCCCTCCTCTCTAACCTCGGGCCACACCTGTTGCCACACGTCCTGTGACGGGAACCCTGGAAGCCACCAGGAAACTGCTGCGCCGCCCAGCCAGGCCTGACAGCCACGGGCCAGGGACAGGCCTGCCCTTGGCCGCTCTGCTGTGGGGAGGCCGGCGAGGGCTGCTGGGGTGATCCCAGAAGGTCCTCTTCCCAGGGCACTGGGTGGGGACTGGCGGGACTGTCCACGATCCCAAGAAGGGTCCCGGGAGCTGCTCAGCGCTGGGGAAGCCAGGTCCCCTCCCGGCCTCGTCTTCTCTGTCACACGGGGTAGCCCGAGGCCGACCTCGCGGGGCTTTTGGAGGGGCGCAGCCTTCATAAATGAGCCTCCTCTGTCCCCGACCTGTCCCCGCGGCAATGTCAATGTCCGGCTCCAAATCTCCAAATGGAAGCAGAGATTCCTTCCTCCTCCTCCCTCCTGGACGCCCCTCTCCCTCTGGGGGCCCCGGGATCACCTATTTGGGGGAGTCCCAGCCGGACGTGCATGGGGACTGGGCAGGGGAGGGACGGTGGGAGGGAGTTGGCGGGTCCCCGTGAGTGGCCTTGGTGGCCCCCAGGGGCCATCGTCGTCCCTCCTCACGCCCAGCGCCCGAGCAAACCCCTGGACCCCAGCGTCACCCTAAACCCACCCACTTCCTGCCCACACTGCCCCGCGGCCACCGCCCCTGTCCCCTGATCGCCGCGGCCAGGGCGGGGTCCCCGGMCCCCCCCCCCCCAGCTCCCGAGGAGGAACGCGCTGCGTCGACCCCGCCGCCGGCCACCAGGGGGCAGAGGCGGCGCGCGTCTCCCCGCGCGGCCCGCCCCGCCCCGCCCCCTCCAGGGCGTGAACCGACTTTTCCGGTTTCGACGGGGGGGGGGTGGGGGGAGCAAAGCCGAGGGCCCCCGAGGGGACCCGCCCTGGCGGGGGACGGGGCGGGGAGGCAGGAGGCCCAGGCCCCGCCCCACCTGGAGGCCTCACTTCCCCCTGGGGACGCAGATCCCTGGCCTGGGTCCACCCAGTGGCACAGGATCCCATTTGGTGGCCTCCAGAGTTGTCCACAAGCCCACTCCTAGGCACAGCCCCTTGGGTCCAAGGGACAGGCAACTTGTCCTGGCTAGAACTCTTGTTGGCGTGACCGGGAAAGGGGACACCTGCTCCCAGTGGGAGAGGCTGGGCTGGGCGGAGGAGGGCCAGGAGCTGGCTCCGGAGCCTCTTTTCCTCGACTGGGGGAGGCCACCTGGGGGAGAAGTCTGCAGGGAGGACGAAAGTGCAGAGACGGAGAGGCAGTCACCTGGATCCAGCCATGCCTGAAACCCAACATTTCAATCAGGTCCCCGCCCCCTTTTAAAGGCAAGCCACTAATTCTGCTGCCAAGAAATGACCAAGAGCTTCTCCCTGGGCCTCTGCCTGTCCATGAAATAGGAAGAGGTTCGCGACACTGGCGGAAGGCCTGCCCTCGGTGGGCTGAGTCACTCCCTAGAAGAATGTTGGCCCAGGATTTATTTATTTTTGTGGCTTTCGAGATGGAACCCAGGGCCTCAGACACACCCAGCCAACACTCTGCCACCGAGCCAAGCCTCCACCAGGATCTATCGAGCACCGCTGGGGTCCTCTGGGGTGGCTCCTGAGCTCCTCGCAGTAGCTGAGTCGCCTTTCAGAATGCAGCTCAGCTATTCATTCCCTCAAGACGCCAGTGGGCAGGCAGGGGTAGGGCTCGGGGACTCGTCATGGGGACTCGTGGTGGGGAACAGACAAATACTAGTTAAGAGGCAAAAGTGGGAATGAGAAGAACGGGAGGAGGGACTTTCCCTGGAGGAGGCCATGCAGGGCCGCAGCAGTGAGGAGGGGCTGGAGCAGCTAGTGCAAAGGCCCTGAGGCAGTGCTGGCCTCCTGCCTGTCAGGGAGCGGGAGGGAGAGGGCCCCTGGCACCCAGGACCCAACAGGCCAGAGCTTTATTCCAAGCGTGGGGTGGTCGGAACGGAAGACTTGGGATGTGACTTGTGAGTTGTTCACAGAAGCTTCGGGTTGGGGTTGGTCCTGAAGCGCCTGATCACCCCGGCGGGCCTCAGTGCTCTGGTCTGCACCACGGGCCCCCGGAGGCGGCCTGCAGAGTGCCCACCCCTCCTCTCCCCTGCCCACCTCTCTTTCTTGGCCCCTCTCTCCCTTCCCCACACTCGGGAGGCTGGGGAGTGTCCCACCGTGTGGCCGGTCCCCGTGCGCTTCTCCACCCATCCTCCGATGTTGGGGTCCTGGCCACTCTGGGGCCGCTGTGAGCATGCGCGGGGGGGGGCGCTGTCTGGCGGGCCGCCTGCCCTCGGGCCTCCTCTGCGCAGGTGCACGGTGGCAAGATCCTCTGCGCCCCCCTCACTGAGGACCTGCCGGCTCCCGCGCTTCCCCACCAGCCTTCTGCTCCCTGTGTCTGCATCAACTATTTTTTTTTTTTTTTAATCCGGGCCGTCCTGGTGGGTGTGATGGTTCTGTGTGACGTTTGGTTTTTAGTGCTGGTGACTCAGCCCAGGGCCTCCTCCGCACTCTGCAACCACGGAGCCACATCCCTACATCCCCAGCCCCTTTTTAAAAATTTTTAATTTTATTTTTATTTTGAGATAGGGTCTCGCTGAGTTGTTGAGGCTGGCCTCGAACTTGCCATCCTCCTGCCTTGGCCTCCTGAGCCACTGGAATTGCAGGCGTGCACCACCATGCCCAGCTCACCCGGTCGTTCTGATGTTTCCCCAATGGATAATTCTTGTTCCCTGTCCTTGGCTGTTTGTGGCTCTTCTTGGATGAACTGTCCATTCAAATTTTTTGCCCATTCACCACTGGGCTCTTCCTGTTTTTATTATTGAGTTGTGAGAGCTCTTTATATATTCTGGCTGTGGACCCACGTCGGTGGTAGGAATGGCAGACCTTTTCTCCCTTCTGGATGTTGTCTTTTGACTCACTATGAATGTCCTTTGAGGGAGAAGAGCCTTGGATCCCTGGAGTCCACTCCATCTATTTTCCCTGGTGGCGGTGGGTGTCCTCCATGTCATGCAAAGAATCTTTCTGGCCTTTGAGGCTCCTTTCAGGCACCTCCCACCCCGCTGCCGCCCCCAGGTCCTCCCCTCTGTCGGGCTCAGACCCTCATCCCCCAGCTGAGGCGCTTGCACCCATCTCCTGGCCTCCGAGGAGGCCTCAGGGGCCAGCCTCACCTGCCTGGGCAGTGCTCACTAACAGCCGACTGTCCCAGGGCTGTGGGAAGCCGGAGCTGTCGCCCGGGCGTGGGGATGGGACCGCCCAGGGCCCGCTCTGCAGGTAGGAAACTGAGACCCCTCCAGGGGTCCTTCCTGCCAAACAATCCACAAACCAAAACAATCCACAGTCCCCAGGAGGGAGGAGAAACGTCCCAGGCGCCTCCCCCCCCAACCGGGTTCTTTTCAACGACCGAGGGGCGGTGTCCCCGACCAGGAGAGTGTCCCCCGCCTCTGGCTTGCTGTGCAGCCGGGCCGCTGCGGCCTCAGTTTCCCTGTGGGTGAAATGGGGGCACTAACCCCCTGGGGGCTGTGAGGAGAGAGGAGCCAGGGGGGGAGCGCCACCCTGGAAGCCACCGCCATCCTTGAGAATAGCAGCACAGCGGGGCCCACCTCAGGAGGGGCCTCGGCCTGTCCCGGGGGCTGCTCCTGCCCTCCTGCCCCGGCCTGTTTGCTGGAGGCTGATCTCCGCTCCCTACCTCCCTGCGTCTCCGCCTCCTGCTTCCTCTGTCCCTCCTGTCTCTGTCTCTGCCTGTCCCCTTCCTGTCTCCCTGTCCCTCCCTGTCTCTCAGGACCCCCCAGCACAGTCCGACTAGGCCAGGCCAGCGTCTGGGGACAGGCCTCCTGGACAGACCACATCCAGATCCTTCCACTGGCCCAGCCAACACCCGCGGTGACCTCAGGACCTTTTCACTTGCTGCTCAGGAGCCCCCAACTGCCAGGCGGAGCTTGCCAACCCTCAGAGCCCAGAAGCGCCGCACGCAGGGAAGCACTCCCCCACCCCCCCCAGGCCCAGGGTAACCCGGAGCCTCAGTCCCGCTGCCGAGCTCTGTGGCCGTCAGGATGCTCCGCGCGTCGGTCCCCTGGGCCTGTCCCTAGATGGTCGGCGGGTGGCTCTACCCAGACGGGCAGGCTGCGCGGCACCTGCCCTCCAGGAGCCACTTCCTGCACGCAGGCTGGCAGGTGGCCCAGGGGCCTCGGTGGCTGTGTGGTGCCCGACAGGAGTGGGGAGCAGAGGGGGCATCTGAGGTGGCCCTTCAGGCTCAGGGTACCCCAGATTCCATGCCAGACGCCAGGATGGGCTGGGGACTGCGGAGTCCAGGTCACCCTTCATGGGGGACAGGAGCAGGGAATCCTGGGCCACAGCCTGCAACCCCCCTTTCAAGTGGCCCCTGTGCCTCCCGGGCTCCCGGGGACCCCGGCTTGGGGACGTCCCCCCAGCACAGCCTTGACCTGGGGCAGGAGGGTGTCGCTGTCCAGCGGGGCTCTCCCACACGGGGCTCGGCCACCGCCCACCCCAGGCCAGGCCGGAGGGGACGGGCAGGGGACGAAGGGACCCCGACCGGGTGGTCAGCAGCGACAGAGGCCGTCCGCCCGGGAGCTGGGGAGATGGAGGACGAGCTGCCTCCCTGGTGACTCGGCCTCCTGGGGAGGCTGGCTCCTCTGAGTGTCCCACCTGTCCCTCCCAGGCTCTTGACCCGGGTCCCTGTGTCCCCGTGAGATGGGATCAGCGGCCCCATCTCTTCTGCACTCTCCCCCCCCATCTGCCAGCAAAAGACCTCCCCAGACCCAATCCCTCCTCGCCACCAGGCCCAGCCCTGTCACCTCCCGGGTCCCCTCACCTCTGCCTTCGTCCCCTCTGCACAACCCAGCGGGTGCCTGAGCCAGGCCTGGTCTCCTGACGCTGCACCACTGTGTTTGTCATGAGCACTCAGCCCTCAGCCATGGGGCCCCCCAGCAGATGAGTCCTGAGTGGCAGGTGCCAGTCTGAGTTCTGACCCGAAGGAGGCAGCCTGAGCCCAGAAGCCCATACCTTGGCCTTCCAGCTCCCAGAGAAGACGCCCTCACCCCTCATTAATCTCTCTTTTTAAAAATAAAAGTTTCACTTTGTTTTTAATCAACAATGAAATTGTACATATTTATCAGGTTCAGTGCGATGCTTTGATCCACGTGTACGTTGTACTCCTGCATTCGTTACCAAGATCAAATCATATTTATCGTCTCAATCATGTATCACTGTGTGGTGAGAACATCCAAAACCCTCTCTTCTAGCTCTTCTGAAGTATTTCTGACTACGGACACCC